TCTTCTAGTGTCAATGAAAAAGAAAAAGGCAAGAAAAGAAAGAGGGTTGTGGAAGATGTTAATGAAACATTTCTCAAGAGTATGGCGGAAGTTATGAAATTTTTTACTGAAAGCCAAGATAAAAGAATTGGTTCCTTGATCGAAAAGATTGGAAATCGTGACCACTCTGATATGCGTGGTCAAATTTATTCCATCATTGAATCTCCTACATTTGATTTGTACACCATAGAGCAACGTATCAAAGCTAAAAAGGTTATCTGTGAAGATGTCAAAAATATGGAAATCTTTTTACGTATGGGTGAGCTTGAGCGCCATACAATGATGTTCATGGTTGTGATTGGAGTGCCATTTTTTGATCCTCTAGTTATGTTCACTCTTTTGTGTATGACTAATGTAGGTCATGAGGATGCTAGAATCTTTTGTATATGTAAAATCTATTAAATAGATTAACTCTCATGTAAAAGTTAAATTTATTGTAAGTTTGTTGCTAGTTATCAATTTTTGTGCAGTTGCTTATGTTGCTTCCCTACAGTTTTCGTCTAATTTTTTCTATTATGGTAGACCAGTTTTTGGTCTTGTTTTTTCTGTTGCTTTGATGCAGAGCTTTTGTTTCAGTTTTGACAGGTGTTTTGGTGAATATTTTCTGGAATTTTACTTTCGCTTTAGTTGTTGTTTTAGTTGTAGTTTTGATTGGTTTGCTGTAGGGATTGCTGCAATTTTGGTCAAGTTTCTCGGTTAGTATGAAGATACAAGTTTCTATTAGTCTAGGCCTATTGTTTCTTTGCCAGATGAGCTAGTTTTTTATGTTGCTTTGATGCAAGACTTCTATTTCAGTTTTAATAAATCTTTTGGCTGTGTAGTGCAGTCTGTATCCATCAACCAAAGATTTACATGAAGCAAATAGATTTTAAGCTTCTATTTCCCAATTTGCAAAGCAACGTTTTGTGGACGATCTTTGCTAGAAGTACGGTTATATGGATCAATATTTTGAGCTGACAAGCAGACACAAAAGCCCAAGCCATACCTCACTTCTCTAGTTGAAAGCATTCTTGTTCGATGCATTGCCCACTTGATATATCCAAAGCTGTATGCTTTAACCAGCTTACCTTTCTCTTTGTCTATTACAAGACCTCTTAATGATTTAATCGTTAACCCGTTAAGAGTTATCATCTATTTATGTTATTCTATTTTAGGTCCGATTCGACGAGCTTTTGGATCATCATAAGGCATATTTTGCTTATATGATTTTGTACTCTTTGGTTTCAATTATTTTTATTATATATTGCTATAATCGTCTGCCTCCTAGACATAGTTGTAGTGTTTGCGTTCTTCCAATGCTTCCTGGTTTAACAATTTTGGCTATGGAAACTCTGTTTTTTGTTTCTTTTATTTTCCAAAGTTGAGATAAGACTTTATGGTGCACTTGATTTAATGCTTCCTAAACAAGCTCTAAAATATGGCGTGTTGTTCGTACTTGTCCTTAAAAGCAAGTTAACAATTATAAGGGAGTCACCTTCTTACTACAATTACTTTGACGCATCAAATTTATTTTAAGAATGTAACTTTCATATAATCTCATTTGGTTATGAGTTAACACAAATGCTTTTAACTAAAACTCTACCAAAAAAATATACAAAAAGCTAAATAAGAGGGTATTTTTGTAATCAAACCACTTATTTTTAGGATGTATGCAATGGCTATTATTTTTAGTACAACAAACCAAACAATCAATAAGAAATAATGCCAGGATAACTAATCTCAGCATAACTAATCTCAGCATAACTTATCCCAGCATAACTTATCCCAGCATAACTTGTATTCAAACCAAACGACCCCTAATAACTTTCTTTATATAATTCTAGTTACGTTTATAAATTTGTTTAACTATTTAAATTTAGAGTTTCAATAAATCATAATATCTATGAGTTTTATTCTTATAATAACTAACTAAATAAATGAGAAAAATGAAATTAAAAAACAATTTATTATTTGGCTAGTGCAACATTTTTTTACTCCTAACTTTAATATGGGTTCATCATGACATGTAATTAATATAAATAGATGTTGGGCAAAAGATTTTAGAGAAATACAAGTTATCATTTTTTTTTCATTTATTTAGTGAGTAATTGCCTTATTTATTAATTGACTAATCATGTAATATTTTTAGATTTTTGAAAATTAAGATAAAAAGAGAGATTTCATAATTAAGATAGTTAAGAGGATGGATTTTTTTTTTCAAGCTATTTGAATTGATATTTATTAAACTACTTTATTTTAATAAATTTTTGTTCTTTACGGAGAAATGAAAGTTTTGATTGATAAATATTTAAGCAATTAAATTTACAATAAAGAGTAGAAATAAGTGGAGTACAAAATTTTAAGACATTTAAATATTTTCAAAAAATAATAAAAATCAATAAGGGAGTAGTAATTGACACATTTTCTTAATAATAATAATAAATAAAAATATAATGAAAATTAAAAAAAATGAGAAATAAGATAAATAGATCATTGGCTAAAGAGAGGTGCTACAACACTTTTTCAATAAATAGATATAGACTTTCATTCTTTACGAAGAAAATGAAAGGATAAAAACTAACAGAGGGAGTAGTAATTGACACATTTTCTATATAGTCTTAATAAGTAGAAATATAGTGAAAATTATAAAAAGAAAAAAAAATTGAGCAAAAAGATAAACAGATCATTGACCAAAGAGAGGTGCTACAACACTTTTCTAATAGATAGATATAGACTTTAATTCTTTATGGAGAAAATGAAAGATTGGAGTGATAAATATTTAAGCCTAAAAATTTACAATAAAAAATAGAAATAAGTGCTAAATTTTGAGACATTAACTTTTTACAATAAATAATAGAAATGAACGGAGAAAGTAGTAATTGACACCCTTATACTATAATACATAATAATTTTATTGTAAAATTCTACATCTTCTTTAGAAACTCACAGTTTTCTATCTTTCTCAGCTTTCTTCTTCATTCCTAGAAGCATAAGAATATATTCTTATAAAATTGTTAAGTTACATAGTTTCAAAGACTAATTAAATTGATTCTAAAAAAAATAGTTTCACATTAATTAAAATAAAAATTATAATTTTAAAAATTAAAAGAAACATTCTTACTCTTAAATTCTTTGTGACTTTCTTGAAAGCAAACATATGATGTGATGATTAACATTTTCTTCCTCACACTTAATGTATGCTATGGTGAGGAAGAAGTGAAAGAATAACTTGAATGAAAATTTTCTTCTTACAAAATATGAATTTATATAGGCAAAAAGGAGGAATACCATAAGGTGTCATAAACTAACAATTTTTTTTTAAAAAAAGCTATGAATATTATTAAGAGTATAAGTTGAAGAGGTGTGAGTTATTAGTAGTTAAATTTTTTTTTATTAAAGATATTAAATTTATATTATAGTGGTAGATGAAAAGTTGAATAATTGAATGTAAAGATTTTTTGAGATATTAAAAATAAATAAATAATTAAATGACAAAAAGATGGTCAAAACAGGTGAAAAAAAGATAAATATGCATGGAGGCCACAGAAATGTGCCACATCACCTAGTCTATGTTTCTCCTTTATTATATATATAGATTTATTTTTCTAGACTTGAATTTATGGCCCTAGGTATATCAGGCCAAAACTGTTTGCTTTGGGTGCTTGGTGATAAAATTCATCTTGATGTAATGGAATGACGGATACCATTAGATAAAAATGAGGCATTACATTAAGATTGTGTCAAGACAATGATATTTCTCTGATATAATCTTGATTAATACTTGATATTGAAATATCTTATCGTTAAAAATCTTCTTATATTATGAAATATAAAAAAAATATATGACTATTTGAAGATAGTTATCAAATCCCAAATCTATATTTTGATGGGATCGACATACAATGCATTAACTTCTCTGAGCGAACAAGCTTTACATGATAGGTGATTTCAGATTAAAAAGATGAAATAGATTCATGTAATAAAGTCTTTTATAGAAAAATATCTTATTCATAAATATTATCTT